CATGCTGTTTGAGCAAACATTTAGACAAAAAGTGTAGGTTACATATCATAGACTCATGTTCACGGATGGACTAATAATGTTTTGACGATAAATTCAGCTATTTACAATGTGCGCCTTCTTTGCTGCTTAATAAGAGTGGCTACGTCAAATTATCATCCACAGCAAATTCTTGGGGATATGAAATATCAAACAAACGTATAATGCATAACTGCTGGTGTCTATTTGTGCTGCAGCATATTTCTACAAGTCTGAAATATTTCTCCAGTTTTCAAATATGCCATTCTCGGTTGCTCCTCGAAACATTTACTCATTCGATTATAACGGCTTATCGCAAGGAGATTTAAGACGCATTCCAAAATACTTGGAATGATCGAGGCAGAATATTTAAGGCAGCGTGTTAGTTGCTGTATAAATGTTACAGTAATCTCAAATCGCAATTTTGTTAATATCACATTCAATTTGACTACCAGACACACAAAAAGAAGCCCTTCTAATTCAAAATTCTGTAATACCAATTCGCATTCCCTTATTTTTGTCAAAACCTGTTTGCACTGAAGTGAACTAAATTAAAAGTAATCCTTATTCGTAGGAAACAAAACCTCATGCGTTAGCGTGATAAAGAGTGTTTGAACCAGCTGCATTTGACCCATATTCTGACAAAAATCTGTGTTGAAATTGCACCGTCGTGTCTGATATTCGGCTGAGTGAACACACCTATAACATGGACTACTAAACTGAACACACTTACATTCTAGTCGACTGCATTCCCTAAGCATCCCCAAGTGATATCAGTCTATCTTCAACATTATGAAGGCAAACTAATTGGGATTTCAGCTGCTGTTGGTCTAATGTAATTGCAGTAGTTCTTAGGGGACCTTGTAAGATAAAGTCATATCGCGAGCCATGCATGCTCCATGTGTGCTGTCTACTTCACAGTTGTCAAGTACAGGTTGGTGTCTCGATCACCTTCATTTGAGAGTGTATATTTTTACGTTCTATCTTTATAGATATGCCGGATCCACAGGAGGAGCAACTGCAGTTGGCTTTTACTTCAGATGCCGAAATGGAGTTGATGAAGCAGAACGAAGAGGAGGTGAATGAGGTAATAATACAAGAGCAGCATATCTCAAGGCACTCCTATCCAAATTCAACTACAAACTACACGTCATATGTCACAGAAGCTCAAGCAACGTAGACATACATATTTTGCACCGCGCCTTCGCTATCTAGGCACCACTTGCTAAGTAAGTTCTAATTCTTAATCAGAATGATTTGTGTCTTGTTGTATCGTGGATGTGGTTTTGTGTTTCATCACTTTAGAGGACACGTGCATTGCATAATGTTTTAACGCCTTTTCAATTCTTCTTGGGCAGGTGCTGTGTGATCCGAACTCATCTCTTTATGTACAGGGCACACTCTAGAAGTCATCTATATGAACACATGCTGCTCTTTACTAAAATATATGATAACATCAATTGCCTGTCACATTTTAGGTTGCAAAGAAACATCACACGCCCATTTACTTCAATTTTCTCTCTTAGTGTAAATTAACATGCCATTTTTGTATACTAAATTGTATCTGAATTTAGAGCCATATCCTCGACTACATATGTATTCAAACATAACTATCAAGATGAATTTCATTTTTAGGTCTGCCGGTATAGATCATACCAATTGCTCCTATTGATTATAATCCAAAACCGCTTCCTGATTGGCTTTATCAGGCATTAAATGAGGCTCTGATTAGAACGGAAGAAATCAACCGCTTGCTACTTCAACAAATTTAGCGCAGTAAATTGCCGGTTTTGTGGCAGACTACCAAGAAATGCTTCAGAACTATCGAATTCGTCAGGCATCACTATCAAGGAATCGCATGAGACATTAAATGCCAACTGCAGTCCAAATAAATCAATTAGCTAAATTTCAGATACAAGGGTGGAATTTCAACACGGATTATCCTCATAAAATGCGTCGCCTGTGGCTTGTTCGTACACCTTAAATCACGCTAACGCATGAGGTGTCATTAATGTCGTGTGAGGATCAACGTAAATGCAACAGGCTACCTTTTCTGTGTTTCTTTATTAATCCGATTAAAACAATAATATTTTAAAAACTACTGCACTTGTATTCATTGCAGCAACAGAAATACTTGCTGATGCATCACCCTATTCTAAGCTTATAAACACCGCCTTCTCAGTTCCCTTCTTGTTGCACACGTCCTCTTTCCAGGTCTTGTTCAAGATACGTCAAAATTTATTCGCAGTGATTGAACATACAATAAAAAAATGTAACAACTGCATTTGGATGTGCAAGGACAGAAGTCTAAATGCAGTAGTTGAGACTGGCGTAGTCGGGAGACTCCGGGGTAGAGGGGGGATTATAGCGGTGAACGAAAAAGCATCTTTCTCCAAATGGACAGGCTCTAGTGAGTGTGTAATGCACACACAGTCTTGTGCGGTACTTACGATGGTTCTGCGGCAATCTCAACTCGAAGATGCCATGAGCGAACTTGCAAGCTTCCCCTTTCGGGCAGGTGCCCCGTCGGAGGAAGTGAAGACACAGGGCTGACTTATATAGCACGTTGTAACGGTCGCCGTGTGCATTGCGAACTCTTGGTGCATTCCTCGTCAGCGGCTGTTGTCGCTGTTGTAACAACTGCAGAGCTGATGCCCAATTTTGCGCTGCAGCGGAACTATCACTAAGTACTTTGTAATTCGTCGGGAAAGCAAAGGCTAAATGATAAAAGTAATTTTCCGCCACACAGCAGCGCCAGATGAGATGAATGCTTGATTTTTAAATAGTCAATTTGTTGGCCTCTGCGTTAGGTATTTTAAGCAACATCGACATGGAGTACAATGGACTTGCTGTGGCTTGCAGTGATATATTCACACCCCACGTGCCAACCTGGGTCTGCGTTAGTACACAACAGGCAGTGATCACAACACTGATTTAAATCACGAGTAGACGGTGCCAGTGTGTTGCTTGTGACAATCGATTTTGGGACACTTGCACGCGTGCTTTCTTAACAGGCCAAACGCAAACCTCGAAACTTCTCTTTAGGCTGGATGCTGTGAGTCGCAATCAGCAGGTGGACAGTCGTTAGGAGTCACTAAAATGCAGATCGATTAACTGACGCGACAAGGGGAATTGCCTTATGCATTTAGAGTTATAACATTACGGGAACAATGCTGGGTATAGAAGGACAGCCATGAATATGCAGTGCCAAAACCATGCTCATGAATCACGACGTATGCCTGTCGTAGTCAAAATTTGAAGGCTTGAATTTAGTTCCTATAGTTCCTGTCGATGGCCTTTCTGGGGCTAATAATGTTGTCTCTGGAGACAAGCATGTCAGCTACGGCATGTCTGACCCTGCCAATCAGGT